TTGTTGTTGTTGTTGTTGTTGCTGTTCTTGTTGTTGTTGTTGTTGTTGTTGTTGTTGTTGTTGTTGTTGAACTCTCGTTTCTAAGAATAGTTGTTGTTGATCCCCCCCGTCTGGTGCATATTGTTTTCTCTATTGCAGTGCACTTCCTGGCGTTTTTTTTTTTTTTTTTTTTTTTTTTTTTTTTTTTTTTTTTTTTTTTTTTTTTTTTTTTTTTTTTTTTTTTTTTTTTTTTTTCTCTCCGGGAAAGTCTTGAGGGTCAAACTGCGTTGTTGGTTGGGCCCATGTTTACAACATTACCGGTTCCCGCATGCTGTCTCCTCACAGTTTGTTGAAGAATCGCGCTCTCGCTTGGGTCTTCCTTCCAATTTACCACGCCATCGCGGCGTCCGCTTGATATTTCCTCAGAAATCATTGCAGAATCGCGCTCTCGCTTGGGATTTCCTCGCAACTTACCACCGAGTCGCGAGTCCCGCTTGATATTTCCTTGCCCACTGTGGCCCCGAATTATATGCCCTTCGTGGCCCCCGCTCGCAGTCGCCCGTCGTGGCCCCATACGCATGCCCTTCGTGACCCCGTTGTCGGGCGCTACGCGCTGGGGCCTGGCGCAGTCCGTGGGGGCCCAGCGCGTAAAAAAAAGGCCTTGTTCGGCCCGGTCTCGGGGTCGGTTGGGCTTCGGGGGTCCGCATCTTCCTCGTCCTCCGCGTTTTTTTTTTTTTTTTTTGTTTGTTTGTTTGTTTTTTGTTCTTTCTCTCTCTCTGTCTCTCCCTTTCGTTTTTTTTGGGGGGTTGTTTTTTCTCTCTCTCTCTCTCTCTTTTTTTGTTCTCTCTCTCTCTCTCTTTCTCTCTCTCTTTCTCTCTCTCTCTCTCTTTTTTTTTCCTCTCTCTATAGCTCTCTCTCTCTCTCTCTCTCTCTTCTCTCTCAATCCTTTCGCAGCTGTCCCTCCCGTCCCTCTCTGCTCCCTCCTCCCCCTCCCTTCCTCCCTCCTCCCTCCCTCCCTCGCCTTGTCGTCATTGTCGTCGTCGTCGTCGTCGTCGTCGTCGTCGTCCCTGGCCGCTCCCCTTGGGGCCCGCCTGCCGCCTGGAGCCCGGCACTCCGACCCTTCAGCCAGCCAGGCCGACAATTCGTGCGACTGCCTCGCCGCCTGCCGAGGGCCAGCCTGTCGGCCCTTCAGCCCCCACCCTCCTCCCTCTCCCCCTTCCCTTCCTCCCTCCCTCCCTCCTTCCCTCCCTTCCTCCTCCACCTCCTCCTCCTCCTCCTCCTCCACCACCTCCTCCTCGTCCTCCCTCCTCCTCTTCCTCCTCCTCCCTCCTCTCGTCGTGGTCGTCGTCGTCGTGGTGAGCCCGCTGCCTGTCCATCTTGGGGTCGGGTTGCCGCGGGTCGGTTTGTGCATCGCCAGCGTTGCCACTGGCCCAGGTTCTTCTGCAGGCTTCGGATGGAGGCACCCCCGACGGGCGTTCCCGCAGGTTTTCGCAGCCTCTGGAATTTCTCGGTCGTCATCGGGGCCATTCCGAGGCCCCCCAGAGGTCATGGGGGGCTTCCGGGGGCCTTCCAATCCCCCCGCGCCTTGTTTCCACACCGGTCTCCACTCGTATCCACCTTCCCCCATTTTTCAACGTTCATCCCCGTCTTTTCCACTTTTTCCTTTTATCTCCATTTTCAGTTCATTCGTACTCCATCGTTGTTGTTGCCGTTGTTGTTGTTGTTGCTGCTGCTGCTGTTGAACTCTCAGTCATGAGGAATTATTATTGTTGTCCCCCCACCCTCGTGTGACCGGTGTTTTTACTAATTGAGGTGCTTCTCCCGGGGTTCGCGTTTGGTTTTTAGTCCGGGAAAGTCACGGGGCTTGAAATGTGTTGTCGACACTTGGATTACAGCAGTAACGGTTCCCGCCTGAGACGTTTCACAATTTAACCAGGACCCCGCCCCCGCCTGAGACGTTCTCGCATTTTACTCGGGCATCGCGCTGTAGCTTTCTTGTGTTGGAGCTCCCCGCAGTTTACTCAAGCGCCGCGCTCCCGACACTCGGGAACTTAGTGGCCGCGCTCACGGATAGGACTCCCCCACAGCCTAATTAAGAATTGGGGTCTCGCTGCCCTTCGTGAGTCCGTTGCAGGCCTTCGTGGTCCCCTCGCCGCCATTAGCGGCCCCGTTGCAGCCTTTCATGGCCCCGTTGTAACCCTTCGTGGCCCCCTCGCTGCTCTTCGTGGACCCGCTGTTGCCCTTTACTCCCTCGGTGCCCTTCGTGGCCCCATGTCTGTATGCCCCTCGTGGCCCCAGCTCATTCACGCCCGTCGTGGCCCCATATGCCCGCCCTTCGTGGCCCCACTGCAGCCCATCGTGGCCCCCTCGCTGCCCGTCGTGGCCCCGTTGCAGCCCATCGTGGCCCCGTCGCTGCCCTTCGTGGCCCCGTAGCAGCCCTTCGTGGCCCCCTCGCTGCCCTTCGTGGCCCCGTTGCAGCCTTTCGTGGCCCCGTTGCAGCCTTTCGTGGCCCCGTTGCAGCCCTTCGTGGCCCTGTTGCAGCCCTTCGTGGCCTCGTTGTAGCCCTTTACTCCCTCGCTGCCCTTCGTGGCCTCATGTATGTATGCCCTTCGTGGCCCCCGCTCGTTCGCGCCCGTCGTGACCCTATTTACATGCGCTTCGTTGCCCCGCTGTCGCCCTTTGTGACCCGTTGCAGCTCTTCGTGGCCCCGTTGCTGCCGTTAGTGGCCCCGTCCTTGCCCTCTGCGGCCCAGTATACGTATGCCCTTCGTGGCCCCCGCTCGTTCGCGCCCGTCGTGGCCCCATATGCATGCCCTTCGTGGCCCCTCTGTCGTCCTTTGTTGCCCCTTCGCTGATCTACGTGGCCCCGTTGCTACCCATCAGTGGCCCCCTCGTTGCCCCGTGTGGCCCCGCATTACATTCCCCTTTGTGACCCCCGCTCATTCGCGCCCCTCGTGGCCCCATACGCATGCCCTTCGTGGCCCCCTTCCTGCCCTTCGTGGCCCCAGTGTCGCTTGCGCTCGTTTTCGCTCTCGGTTTCGCTTGTCGTCGTCGTCGCCGTTGTCGCCGCCGCCGTCGTCGTCGTCGTCGTCGTCGTCGTCGTCGTCGTCGTCGTCGTCGTCGTCGTCGTCGTCGTCGTCGTCGTCGTCGTCTCCGTCGTCGTTGTCGTCGTCGTCGTCGTCGTCGTCGTCGTCGTCGGCCCCTTGTTCGTCCCTCTTGGGGTCGGGTCGCCGCCGATCAGCGCTGCCGCTGGCCAGGCCGACTGTCCGTGACCGCTCCGCCAATTGCTGGGGCCCGGTCTGCATGGAAGAAAGACCGACCCCCCCAAAGGAGGACGATCGAAGACGAAGGGGCTGGCAACGAGGGCTTTGGATATACGTGTTGAATGGAAACGGGCAGATCTGAGCGAACAGTCTCCTGTTGTTGTTGCTGCTGTTTATAATTACTGAACATTTTTTATTGTTGAACCCCTTACAGGCGACCTGGCGCTCTCGCCGGGGCGCCGGCTGCATTTTCATTGACAATGAGGCTCGCTCTCAAGCATTTTGGGGGACCGCCCAAACAGGTCCCCAGCAACAACAACGCTCCCGTTTTAGACTTCCTCCTTTTTTACTCAGGGCCGGTGCTTTTGGTCGCCGCCGAAAGCAGCCGCGTCAACAAAACCAGCGCATCTGCTCGAGACCACCTCCCGTTACCTTGGACAGGCGCGCCACTCTTTCTCTCATCGGCGCCGCCCCCCAGCAACAACAACGCTCCCGCTCGAGACCTTCTCCCTTTTTTACTCAAGGCGGTGCTCTTGCTCGCCGCCGACAGCCCCCGTCCCGACAAAACCAGCGCTCCCGCCCGAGAGGTCTTCCCGTTTTACGCTGGATTGGCGCACTTTTCTCCTCATTTTCCGTCCTTGTCCTGCTGCTGCTGCTGCTCCTCCTCCTCCACCTCCTCCTCCTCCGAGTGATATTGGTGCTGCTACAATCACAACAACAATAACAACAACTACTGCTACTGCAACTACTCCTTCCTCCGCCCCCTCCTCCTCCTCCTCCATCCTCCTCCTCCTCCTTTTCCTCCTCCTCACCCTCCTCCTCACCCTCATATTCCCTCCCCTCCTCGCCCTCTTCCTCTTCCTCCGAGATGCGGGGCGTGCGCAAGGCGATGGCGATGGCGATGTGCCGTTCGCGAGCTGTGGATGTCGAACTTCATCGGAAAAGGTGGTGGCAATACCTCCTTGGGCGGGAGATATGGGTGAGGGAATTTTGCAACCCGCATGCCAGAAACATCCCCCATGATGGGGTGTGGTATCCCGAAGGATGCATGTGACATTTTTTATATATATATAAACAAATTAGTATTATATATTATTATTATTATACACACATATATATATATATATATATATATTGTCTTTTTTTAAGTTGTTTTTTCCTTATCCTCTGCCTGTCCACCGGTGTGTACACATATGTGCGCAGGCACGTCGACTGAAGGAGAGCACGGCGCGCGTGAGTCATCACACAAGACAGGGCCGTGGGATGGAGAGATAGGAAGGGTGAGTAGCATGCTTGATACAATCAGAGTATTTGTTAGGGCAATGTCGAACGGGTGAGTGTCAGTCCGAGGCTAGCGATACCAGGCGTCCCGCATTGCGTGCTCATTTGTTTTATGTATGTGTCGTGTTTCCTGTCACATCGTTGTCTTTCAATATATTCTCTTTTCTTCATTTCGAGTTTGCAGCTGCGTTCACCGCCCACTTTTGTTGTGATTTCGTTGCCGTCCGTATGAGAATCGTCCCATGGTGATTTTGTGAACGAGCGTGTTGCATGGTCAGAACGTCCGTGTGCGCATACAGCCGCTTGCTAGCTGAAGCCACCTGGAAGGTCAGTCCTTCTGAACGGCAGAGTTCTATCGTTGCAATCGTCGGGACCAAGAGCCTGCAGAGGGAACCAGGGTTACGAGGTTGAGGAATATCATCATGAGGGGTTTGTTGTCTGTAGCTTCTGACCTGCGTGTGCGTGGTATTGGCGCGAGGTGCTGCTGCTTACGGCTCTGTGGACCAGCTACAATGCCACCCTGCTGTTCGTGGGCCAGGCGTTCCTAACGGAGTAACACACAGCATTGACGGGAGGTGGATGGGGGATCCTTGTATCAATTACGGAGGTCGGACCAATGCCAATTTCAGTACTCCTTCAAATGATCGCGACTTTCGGACCACTGGAGAGAACATTGTGCATTTCGCTGCCCAGTCATGTCAAGTGGATTACGCTGTGTTGTATTTATGGTACCTGCGCGGTGGCACAGGTCCACCGCAATCACTTCCGTTTTCCAATCAAAGTCACTGCATCGTGTTTCGCCACAGCACGATCAATACCTCCTGTTCCAGTTTATGGATGTCCGTTTGGGTCTTGCAAGGCTTTGATGCACAGTTTCATTATCCGAGGCAGCACTTCGCACCTACCGAAAAGTCCGACCCTCGTTGATGCGAGCCCGCGCTGATATTTTTTTCGTGCGACTCTTCTGCGTTTTTGCAGCGAAGGGAGGGACATCAACCAGCCGTCAGGGAGGAGGCGGAGGAGGAGGAGGAGGAGGAGGAGGTGGAGGGAGGAGGAGGAGAGATGAGTATGAGTATGAGGAGGAAGCGGAGGAGGAGGAGGAGGAGGAGGAGGAGGAGGAGGAGGAGAGAGGAGGAGGAGCAGGAGGAGAGGAGGAGGAGGAGGAGGAGGAGGAGGAGGAGGAAAAGCACTAGGTCACCGGACAGGGGCGCGAAGATGACCCGCGCGATTGCGCGTAGCGGCCTGGGCAGCAGGGCCAGCCTTCTCCGGGGCGGTGGCGCGAGAAGGCGCGAAAATGGTCTCGCGCGATCGCGCGTCGCCGCGGCGCGGGGGCGGTCTGGGCGGCCGTGGGCTTGGTGCCCCCTACCGCAGGTCTGGTGGCACCAGGAGGAGGAGGAGGAGGAGGAGGAGGAGGAGGAGGAGGAGGAGGAGGAGGAGGAGGAGGAGGAGGAGGAGGAGGAGGAGGAGGAGGAGGAGGAGGACCAGTGTAAACTCAAGACGTATCAACGATGCTGCAATAAGCCCTCCCTCCATGGTCCATCGCAGTAGGTCCCTACAATATTCGATTTTCATTGCGGGAAGTGCCCCACTGGAACACGAACGTCTGAGAATCCTCAATTCCGCCGACACACAAATCGTGGAATGTCAGCGCCGCGAATTCTTGCGTCCTGGCAATTGTCAATCGTGCCAGAACACCATTCCAGGGACCTCAACACCTCGAAGCAACGTGACCGCTGCGCCGTGTCCTTCCTAAGCCATGTCAGAGCGTCTTTCCCTTGAAACTGCTGCAAGCTTACAAGACTACTGTGCGCGGTGCTGAGGCGAGAGCCATTCTTTGGAGAGGAACCGCCCTTTATCTTTGAAGGTGTTACAAGCTTGTAAAACGAATGGATGCCGCGCGAAGGCGAGAATCTCATTTTGGAAAGGAACCGCCCTGTATCCTTGAAGCTGTTGCAACAGATGCGCTAAGACGAGAGCCATATTTTTAAAACCACCCGACCTCCAACCGTGAAACTATTGAGCACTTTTCCAGACGAATGTGTTTGCGGCGCTAAGGCGATAACCACATTTTGAAAGTCACCCGCCATCCATCTTTGAAACTGTTGCACATATCAAGCTTCAGGATCATAGATGCTGAGGAAGTCGCCGGCGAATCGCCCGGTCCGTCCTAACGACACATGTCAGGGTGCGACTGCGAGGAGGGGGAGGAGGTATTTATAAGGAACAGGAATGGAGGAGGAGGAGGACTGAGGTTTTTGCGTTTGAGCCGTTTTGGGGTTCTCTGGAAGCCCCCAGGTCGGGCGTTGGTAGGGAGGGTCTATCCCAAGGTGGAGTCAGGGAGCGAGCCCAGCTGGATGCTTACATTTCCTTCCTCGAATAGCCGGTTACGCAGGCAGATTTTCTTTTTTAACGTCGCCCCGGCCCCTGTCCCAGTTGTACGTCTTCCCGGGAGCGGATCAGAATCCCGCAGCCCTGCCAGAGGAGATGGCCCTGGGAGGATTCGGACGGCGAGAGAGACATCGTTTTATGCAGTAAGACTGAGCAGGCTAAGTACCCCAAGCGCTGCGTCTGAGATGGGGCTCTCCGCAGCATTGTAGGCAGTATCGTTCGGTGCAGCAGAAGAAGCTTCTGTGGCCGTGGGGCAGGAGCACAATTTAGAAAACCATCCGCCTACTCGTCTCGGGAGTTGTGCACACGTGCACTGTGAGCACAGATTTGAAGCTGGACCGCTCTCCATGGGTGCAGGTATCGATCGAAACGTGTCGCGCCATGGCTCCTCTTTTGCTGGGATGACGACCCGAATAATGGTTTGTTCCCAACCCTCCTGCGTTGGGTTCTCGTTTTGAATAGAGCACTGCTCGCGCGTCTCCTTCCCACCCCCTCCCGTCCCTCTCTTCCCCCCTGCCTTTCGCCTCGCTCGTCGCTGCGTGCCAGCTGGGGGGCTGCGATCTGTGAAACTGTCGCCACTTTCGCGGCCT